TGTACTCTAATTTGCAGTTGGTTTGTCTAAGGTATTAATTCTATGACTTTACATTGTAATTGGTAATGTGCCTTAAGTCTATTTCAATTTATACAGTTCTTTTGTCTTTTGACAAACACATACTTGACTTGGACAGTTGCACTGAAGAATTCCAATTTGTCAATGTGTCTGGTTGTTTCTCCTGGTGTTGTTGGGCTTGCTCTGCTTTTCCCCACATTACCTGCCATCCAGAAGTCATAATTCAAGACATATGGATGCTTTATATTGCGCCACTCAGAAAAATTAGAATGTCTAGCCTGCCTACCATTTACAGTGTGCAGATAAACTAGCCAATCAACATGGCAGCCAGATCCTTACATTGGTTTTCTGCTTTGTATATTATCCATATGATGCTTCTTTGACATTAAATGGATGTCATTTCTCATTAGCCATTGAACCAGAAATTATAACACTGGGTGACAGTCCTCACTGAAGTGAGTGATTTTATTAAAGTTTGTCCATTTCTGTCTAGCTCTTTAATTTCTCTTGCATTTATTAGCTTGTCAATCTGTGTACACTATAGTTTTCCCTCCACAACTTGAATGATTTGGTCATCCTTAAACATAGATCTTACTGGCAAGGCAGGCTGAATGTTCCATGTCTATTTAATTATCAACTTCAAAGTAGACTTGGTAATCTTTATAATTTTAATGTATTTCATAACATTATATTCTTTTGATGCTCAAAATGTCACAGTTGTGGCCAGAAAGCTTCACTACGCATTGTACTTTTGTTGTTGATAGTGAAATAGCCTTAAAAACCTTTAAGGTCTTTGAAAGCCAACCTCCCAGGTATAGTTAGCCATCTTCCTCAAAAGCCTGTCCGTTATGTTAACAATTCATCAAACAGCCTGTGATGTTTGGAGGTTAAGGGGGCTTTTAAGCTAATTTCGTCTTGGTTTTTGTTGTTGTTGAACCTCAAACTCACTATATAGCCAAGGTTGGCTTTAAACTCATGATCCTCCTCCTTTGGCTCCACGAGCACTGGGATTCTAGTATACGCCATCATACCTGGCTTTCTTACTTCTTTCTAACGTCAGTTTATTCTCAATAAATCAAAAAAAGCATAGGCCAACCTGTCTTAAGTTCTTTCTGCTTAAGAGCTGTTGGGGTTTTGTTTGTTGTGTGTGTTTTGTTTTTAGTTGGGTCTCTAGAACTCACTATGTAGTTGAGGATGACCTTGAACTCATGATCTTCCTGCTTAACCTGGGCCACCACACCCAGCTAAGAGTTGCCGTTATGAGTTTGTCATTTTGACTTTGTTGTTGTTGTTTCGTATTGTCACTTTCTGTTGGTGTTCATGAAGATACTGCCCGAAGGAAAATGCTCGGACCCCAGTAGAAGTGTATTAACATAGTTATGTTGAGTTTCTCAGTAACTTCATTAATGATTCAATGTAGACCACTTCCTTCTAGTCCTTTACCCTGGCCTGCATGAAACAGATTTACAACCAGGTATTTCTTTGCAGGTATCACGCACAAGATCAGATACATCTGCATTCTGACAGACTGCCTTCTGAAAGAGCACGTAGTTACAGAACTTATGCTTACGGTAGAAACCTTTGTAAAAAGGCCTACATTATTTTGGCCATTTAAGTAGAATCTAAAGCTTTAAGTAATATTACAAAACACTTAACTGTGTATTCCTTAGCATCAGTTTGAAGTCCTAGTGGCCGATAATAGTAATGTTCTACATTTCACCTGCTTTTGTTTTACTCCAGTTCTTCCATTTGTAACTTTTAAAAAGTAGAATCCTATCATGTACATAAAGAACACTTTTCCCCCAAGGTTGGAAAATATAGTTTTGTTTTAGTATGCATCTGAAAACGTTAAATATTTAACATTCCATCCGTATGTAAATATATCCAAGTATTTTACTCAGAATTGTTCCACATGGAAATTCCGATTTTATTCTTTTTTAGCCTTAACTCTTCCCTCTTCCAGGAAGTCAATGTATAAACCTGCCTGTCCTCTGTGGGCCTTAGTAACCACTACTGCATCTCTTCCTATGCTTTTCTGCCCTTACCCAAATCACCCACATCATAAAGCTGGCAGGGGCTCAGGGGGTAAAGGTACAAGCCAAACCCGATGACTCAAGTTCAATCCCCAGGACCAACTTCTCCCAAGGGTCCTCTGGCCTCCACATGGCTTGTGGCACATACATGCACACACACACACACGTAACTTTTAAAATAGTGAAAATAGGGGCTGGAGAGATGGCTTAGTGGTTAAGAGCACTGGCTACTCTTCTAGAGGACCTGGGTTAAATTCCCAGCACACACATGGCAGCTCCTAACTGTCTGCAATGCCAGTTTCAGGGGACCTGACATCCTCATGCAGACATACTTGCAGGCAAAACACCAATGACATAAAATAGAAATTTTTTTTAATTGTGAAAATAAATGGGCATTATGGGCAATGACAAATATAGGACTCAAGACTTAAACCAGCCTCGCTTCATGGCAGTACAGGAAGGCTGTTTTCAGGAAGGTCTCATAGAGAAATTGTGCTCAAATCCTCTATAGTACACTTCAGGAACGGATGGAATGTATTTTTAAAACCAAAGATGAGGGCCAAGGACACTCCAATCATGGTCACAGACACTGACTGAATCTGTATAAGCCTGTGGCAGCTGATGGCGGGACCCCAACCACCAGTGTCATCTGGAGTAGAACCCAGAAAAAGTTGATGATATGGGTCCTCTTCAAGGCCTAGGAGATGCTCACTTTGTAGTTTTCAGTGTCTAAAATGTCTATTCCATGTGACCTCATGCAGCATGCTTACCTGTTTAGTAAAGGAGGCATCTGTCTCCCAAGTGAGTACTTGGAGGAAGTGAGTCTGACCTCCTGTGTACATGAATCTTCCCTGGAATGACAGAGGTGTGCTTTCTACGTGATGGTGGTGGTAGCGGGGTGCCCTTAGGTGGGGATCAGAGAGGGAAGGGTAGGTGGGGAAGACTACTTTAAAGATAGTAAATCAACTTAAATTCTAAAATGAAACAACTTCCTTGAGCCTGTATGCTTCCCTGAGTGCAAAATGCTGCTGCCTTTTTTTAGTGTTTCAGGAATACTTTTATAGGAAAAACCATAGGATTCAGTATATTGAGATTCTTGACAATGTTTTGAATGCTGATAAAAGTTTGAGAACTGATAATGTATTATCTAATTCTCCAAATACATAGCCAACTAAAAACAAACAAACAAACAAACAAACAAAACACTTCAAACCCTACCAGCAAAACTGTCAAAAGTTAGCATTGCACCATGGCTGTATACTGATTTGAACTGAATCAAGTTTGAACATCTCCAATCACTAACTTGAGTTAGCTTTCCTGTGAGCTAGGCTGCAGCAGGGTTATAAAAAATACTTTTTCTAATCAAAATCAAGGAAAAAAAAACCACAGATTGTATTTTATGAATGAAAGGCTCTTTCTACTTGAAAACTTTCGTAAGCTTAAAATTTCAGTGTAACACAGCAACTTTTCTCTGGTCTCAACTTCTGACTTAAAAACGCACACAGTTCTTGCTAGCTTGCAATTTATTTGTGAATATTACTCTTCAATAAAACACTGTTTATTGTGCTTTTGCTTCAGTATTTAGGAGGGTAAGATTTGGGGACTGGGGAGGCAGCTCATTCCATAAAGAATTTGCTCTGTAAGCATGAGGATCCCAATCTGATCTACAGAATCCATTTTATTTTATTTTTTTTAATTTTTTTTTTTTTTTTTTTGTTTTTCAAGACAGGGTTTCTCTGTGTAGCTTTGCGCTTTTCCTGGAACTCGCTTTGGAGACCAGGCTGGCCTCGAACTCACAGAGATCCGCCCGGCTCTGCCTCCCAAGTGCTGGGATTAAAGGCGTGCGCCACCACCGCCCGGCCAGAATCCATTTTAAAGCTAGGTGTAGAGGTATTGGAGAAATCGGGCCTCCCTGGAGAAAACCAAGTCAAAGAAACAGGCACATTCAGGGGTTGACCTCTGTCCTCTACACACACACAAATAACTCGCTGGTAGTTACACAAGAAATCATTTTCAAGAGACCCGTTGAAGATTCCAACATACCTGTTTAGTTGGGCCTGGAGGTACACACCTTTAATCTTAGCACTAAGGAGGCAGAGACAGAGAGGCAGGCAGATCTGAGTTCAAAACCAGCCTAATCTACACAGTGAGTTCCAAGATAGCCAGGGTTCAGAGAGTAACCCTGTCTCAAAATAAATAAGTAAAAATAAAAATAACTCACCACAGATGAGAAGTCTAACTAGTCTTACCAATTCTCAAGCACTAAAAAGTATTTTTTTCTATAAATGTACCCCAGTTCTATATTTCCAAAATCCTCACACTTTACCTTCTTCTTTACCTGCTATCATTTCACTGTTCATTAAAATCACCAGTTCTTGACTGATCTGAAGATGGTCAAATGGTAGTGGGAAATGCATTAAATGCTTCTTTCACTTTAAAAACACTTGGTCCAAGCTGCTGGTATACAGTTCAGTGGTAGAGTGCTTGTCTAGCATTCAAAAACCCAGTACTCAGTACCACCACCAAAACAAAACAAAAACCTTACTACACAACACCCTCACTATGGGTGAAAAACCATAGGATTCAGTATATTGAGATTCTTGACAATGTTTTGAATGCTGATAAAAGTTTGAGAACTGATAATGTATTATCTAATTCTCCAAATATATAGCCAACTAAAAAGAAACACTTCAAACCCCACCAGCAAAACTGTCAAAAGTTAGGACACATGTGACCTAAATATGAACTATTTTGATGACAGCTGGACTTTTCGGGCCTACTGAGGACCTACATGAGAGACAGTGAGGCGATACACGCACAACAGCAGCCAGGACAAGCAGAGCAAGAGTTACCGGTGGCTAAGAAGTGCTGTGCATTAGTCCTTCAGATGACAGCACTCCAGAATGTCGTTCTGACTAATATCACACCACAGGGAACAGTCATCTGGAAGCACTTATGAATTTTGAAATCTTTTATTTTTGTAAGGTGTCAACAAGTTACTCGAACGCAGGAAGTCGTCAAAGCCCCTGGGGCTCAATTGTATGTCATGTAGCGGGGAGTAGCGCTGAATTTGGCGTAAGACTTGATGACCTTATTCACGGCTTCCAAGAAATCCTTCTCTGTAGCAATTTTTCGCCGTGCTCGGATTGCAAACATGCCAGCTTCTGTGCAAACGCTTCTAATCTCCGCTCCTGTCCAACAAGGAGAAAACAGAATGGTTTAATTACAGCCGCCAAAAGCCTGACTGGCAGATGAACAAGACCGGCACTTACCAGTGCTGTTTGGACACAGTCGGGCTAACAGCTCAAACCTAATGTCTCTTTCAACACTCATTGAGCGAGCATGAATCTTAAAGATATGAGTCCGACCCTAAAAATGAAGGAATTTACATATATTAAAGTGAAAATATATCACAAAAAGACAAAATTTCAAGAATATTTTTTTCTAAAATGAACTTTCTTTTCTACCTCTAGATCAGGTAAGCTAAACTCAATCTTTCTGTCCAATCTCCCTGGCCTCATCAGTGCTGGATCCAGAGTATCAGGTCGGTTAGTGGCCATCAGGACTTTGATGTTGCCTCGAGGATCAAAACCATCCAGCTGGTTGATCAGTTCCAACATTGTTCTCTGCACTTCGTTGTCGCCCCCGGCACCATCATCAAACCGAGCCCCTGAGAAGACAACAGAGAATCATCCCATGCCCATTTAGAGCAGCTCTACTCAGGACCTGAAAACAGAAGGCTCACAGCCTCCCATGCAGCAAAGTACACACTCTACTCTGAAGTTATAAAATGAACTAAAAAGCAAAATATACCAAAACAAAACAAAATGAAATCACACAAAAAAATAGGGAGTCTATTTTGTGCTGGCCAACTACTCCTAGGCTGGGGCCAGCCCTAGAGTGTAGTTGATATACCCAGAGACACTCCATTGGAGAATGGTGATTCCTCCTTTCCCAGTAGGTAGCAATTGCAAATAGCTTCTTGGTTAGGGATGAGATTTTTGCATCCATTTCCCTTCTCAGTGCTGGAATTTTGACTAAATTGAACCTGGGCAAATCTTTGATTTAGAAAGAATTCACCATAAGTTTACTTAATAGTTTTCTTTAAAGTATCTTTGAAGTTACTCCTTCAGGACATTTTGTTTTGCAAACTAATCAAGAACTCTTCTGTAGGGAGTGGAGGGACGCTGGCCCACTCAAACATGTAGCTCTGGCAAGCCTTGCCCTTTCCTCCCATTCATTCTGCCTTGCTAAAACCTTAGATTACATTCCTGAAGCTAGCCACCAGGTCTATTCCCTTATTTGGCCACTTCCTCCTCCTGAAGCTGACTACTAAGGTCCAGCTATCAAAGTACTGAAGTCCAGCAACCAATCAAAAGCCCCCTTTGGCTCACCTAATTAACATGCACAATCAAAAGTAAACACTTGATCCTAACCCAGGGTTTCCCCTTTACGTGTATAAACCGTAATTTGTCTATGTGCCACGTCTGTCTCCTCTCCACCCAGAGGCAGTCCTCTGTTCCTCCAGGACAAATACCCCTGCCCCTTTTCCCTTGTTCCCTTTTCCCCCTCTATCTCCTTTACCACTGCATCCTAGCCCATTCTAACACAGAGCTCCCCTTTTCCTCTTAAAATTGCACCTGCAAGGTCATTTGCTGCTGTTTTCTGAGTCAGAAAGCAGCCACTTTAATTTTTCTTCCTGCTTAATAAAGGATCTCTGTGAAAACAGGTGCTTGGGTGTGGTTTGTGCCTAACCTGGGGTCCTGGAGGAAGCCCTCACTGTGTGTGGGGCCCCTTCAGGGAGAGTTTCAAGATGGCAGCTATTACCTTGGCTAGAGTCTCCGGGTACTAACAATCTGGAGAAAGCTGGAAAAAAGCTGTCCAAAGAGTATTAGGAGAATAGAGACGGCTCAGCAATTAAGAGTACTTGCTGTTCTTACAGAAGACCCCAGCTCCATTCCCCAAATCCTGCAGACTGCTCACAACTTCCTGACTCCAGCTCTCAAGCATCTGACAAACTCTTCTGACCTCTGCAGGAATGGTCACACACGCACACATGCACCTATGAATGGCATACATGTACTCAAGACATACACATTTTTTAAATAAAGAAAAATGGGCTGGAAAGATGACTCAGGGGCTAAGAGCATAAACTGCTCTTGCAGAAGACCCTCTGAGTCAGTTTCCTAGCATCCACAGCTCACAGTCACAACTGCCTATAACCCCAGCTCCAGAGCAATATGACAGCTTCTTCTGGTGTCAGGCCTCTGCAGACACTGTACTCACACATGCACATATCCACAGACATTATCAGACATTCTAAACAACTAGAAAAAAAGTCATACCCAGGGCAGCAACAGCACTAGCAGCTTCCTCAGCACTGGGTGTTCAGCACTGGGCAACTGAGAAAGTAAGACACCATTTGAAAAAGGCTTCTGCTATGTTGGTGGCTTGGCAGCCCAAGAGCCCCTATGAACCACACTTTTGGGAAACTCAGCAAGTGACGCAAAACCAAATGCTGAAACCTGGCCAAAAGAATACTGCTAGCCTGTGGAGACTAAACTTTGAATCAGATCTGTGCAGCATTCAACAAGCTCAAAACCTGGTACACAGTGGAGTGTGGCCTCAGACTGGAGCACTGGGAATTGCACAAGGGTGGGGCTAGCATTTGTGCTGAGAAACCCTGAAGGAAGGCACAGAGATGTTTTGGGCATCTGAGACTCCATCTGTTGAAGTCCCACCCAAAGACTGGAACAGCATCTGTGGATCTAGTATCTATCTAAAAAGGAAAGACTAGAGCTGCCTCATATCACAGAGGAGCTCCTAAAGCTAAGACAAGCACACTGAGACTCTGAGTCCAGTTTTCATGCCCTATATCCCGTGTGCATCGGACTCACTCTAAGAGTAGAAACACTAGATCAGAGATGTGAGCATGACTATGTTCGTATTCTCTATCCCTATATTTCCTCTACATGCACGCCTCCTTATTCAATCCCCAATGTCAATTAAGCAAGCCAGCTTAGCTGTTCTTGCCTATATATTCCTTGCCCTAATCACTCTTTTCTTTTGCATTTTTTTTCCATTTTCTATTCCCAAAGTACGTAACTTGCCCTGGTTTGCAGAGGCTCTGGGGCCTAAGAGATGGACCAGTTCTTGCATTATCTGTTAACCCAGCTTTACCGCAATAGTAACTGGAAGATATACTGATGATGATGAACTAAAAAGGAAACTTTCCATGATAAAAGCAATCTTAAAGAATTTATGACCACTAACTCAGTTCCACAGAGGATAATGAAAAAAATGTTTGTAGACTAAAAAGAACAAGTACATCTGTGAAGCCACAAGAAAAAACAAGCAATGCTAGGACAGTAGTTCTCAAATGAGTGTTGAGAAACCATCAAACACTACAAAAGCAGCAAAAATGACAGGAATCAATACACATCTTCAACACTATCTTTGTGGGCTCAAGCAGTCCTAGTCTGTGGAGTGAGGTTCCAAGTCAGCCAGGGATACACAGTGAGACCCTGTCTCAAAGCGCGTGCACACACGCACGCACGCACGCACACAAATCAAGACCCAAGGGTCAGGGAATGGTTCAGCTGGTAAAGTGCCTGCTATGCAGTTGTGAGGACCCACGTGCCCCTTGGCACACACGCAAAACTGGGGCACAGAAGTGTACACCTGTAATCCCAGCGCTGGGGAGGCGGACAGGAGGGTCCTTGGAGTTTATCTGCCAGCCAGTCTAGCCAAATTGGTGAGCTCTGACACAGTGAGAGGCCCTATCTCCACAGATAAGGTGGAAAGACACCGAAGAAAACAATGCCACCCTCTGGTCTGCACACACATGGGCACACACGTGCATGTGCATCCTTAAACACTAATTCCTCAGTCAAAAGTCAGGGTAGAGGACTGGATTAAAACAGCATCCGAGTTAACCTAGTGAATGTTGACACTTTGGGTCTGAGTGAAGCTGAAAAAAAAAAAGAAAAACAAACAAACAAACAAACAAAAAAATCCAGGATCCATCTGTTTGTTGCTTCTCCAGTGACAGGATAAACGGATGGAAAGGTGCTCCAAAAAAATAAATAAAATTAGGAACAGCGGGTGTCACTGAAGGCCAATAACTGAAAAGTGAACCTTCTGAGATGAAAAAGCTTCTGTATGGCAAAGTAACAGTTAACTGAATGAAGAGACAGTCTACACACCTGACAGAGAATTAATGTGTAGAAAACACAAAGAACTCAAACCACTAACTAGAAAATCAAAGAAAAAAAAGCCCAATCAATAAATGTGTTAATGAATTGAGTATAAGTGACAGTTCTTAAGAAATACAAATGATCAATAAGCATACGAAAGTGTTCAACTTTACTAGTCATACAGACACACAGACCAAAACTGCGATGCGGGGGCGGGGAGACTGGAGAGATGGCTCAGTGGTTAAGAGCATTTGTTCTCTTACAGAAGACCTGGGTTCAGATCCCACACCCTCTTCTGAGCTCCACAAGCACTGGGCACACATGTGGTACACATACATGTATATGGGCAAAGCATCCACACACAGTAAAAACAAAAACAAAACCCCTACATTGAGAACCTCCCTTCTCCCAGTCACAATGCCATTCACTAAGAAAACAAACTATAGGACAGCAAGATGGTTCAGTGGGTAAAGGTGATTTTGCCAAGCGCCTTGACCTGTGTTCGATACCCAGAACCCACACAGAAAAAGAGAAAACTGACTCTGGCAAGTTACCCTTAGACTTCCACGTGTGTGATGTGGCACACAGACAGACACAGACAGACAGACACTAAATTGGTTGAGGAAAAGAAAGAAATAATCAAGTAACAGTTTCTGAAGGATGTGAACAAAAAGAATCCCTTATACACTGATGGTGGGAGTGTAAACTAGTTTACTCACTATGAAAATTTCTTAAAAAAAAAAACAAAAAACACCCTAACAATGCATCTTCCGTATGACCCAGCTATACCACTCCTGGATATTCACCCAGAGGACTGCAGACATATCACAGACACACCTGCACTCAATGTTCATTGCAGCATCAGTCACACTTAAGGAACCAACTTAGAGATGTCCACCAACAGAGAAGTTAACAGAGGAAACACCATGTATGTACATGGTGGAGCACCATGTTGTCAGCTGGAAGAGAAGTTACTGGAGACAGTGGCAGGCATCTGCAGCTCCTAAGGATTAGTATTCTAAAGCCACAGTCAACATCCCAGGACAGTTCAACGTTTTCACAGTCTTACCAAAAAACAAGCAAGGCAGGAATTATCATTCGTTTTGCGGAGTTCAGTAAACTGAGGCTTCAGAGTTAGTTAAAATAAATAGAGTAGGTCACAGGGCTAACACTATATTATATCAAATCTGGGAAGCCAATATTATTATTTTATGTAAAGAAAGATAAACTGCTATCATTTCTGTTACATTCCAGTGCCTTCTTCACAGTAAGGGATGATGTATCATTTCAACCTACGAGTTGTTCAGAGTATGGACATTTATGCCCACAATGAAATGAACCAGCACAAACACAAGCTATCAATGCTATGTAGTATTTTTTTCCTTCATAGCCATACTGTTGCTTAAATCTGCGGCTCTGATGTACCAGAGCTGCAACTTGGAGTTAAAATTTTGTAGAAGATTAACACGTCAGAACTCTACTACAAATCACTTTAAGTTTCTATGAAACTCAATCCTACACTGATTCTTTAAAATATCATTCAGGGATGGTGAGACGGCTCAGGGGGCAAAGGTGCCTGCTACCAAGTCTGACAACCTGAACTGGATCCCTGGGGCCCCCATGGTAGGAGAGAAGTGACCCTATAGGTTGTCCTTTGACTACATGCACACTACATGTGGTGGTTTGAATGAAAATGGCCCCATAAGCTCATAGGAACTGTCACTTTAGGAGGTGTGGCCTTGTTGGAGGAAGTGTGTCACTGGGAGCGAGCTTTGAGGTCTCAGATGCTTAAGTCCGGTCAGTGTGTCTCAATTCTCTTCCTGCTGCCTGCCAATCCAGATGTAGAACTCTCAGCTCCTTCTCCAGCACCACGTCTGCCTGTGTGTTGCCACACTTCCCGCCATGACAACAATGGACTAAACCTCTGAACTGTAAGCCAGCCCCAAATAAATGTTTTCCTTTATAAGAGTTGCTATAGTCATGATGTCTCTTCACAGCAATAGAAACCCTAAGACACTATAGCACTCTCACTGTACATATGCACACTCACACACACATATAATAAAAACTAACTAAATCAGTAAAATTTATCATTCATACCTCCAATGGCATCAATTTCATCAAAGAAAATAAGGCAGGCTTTTTTTGTTCTTGCCATTTCAAAAAGCTCACGAACCATTCGAGCCCCCTAATGAGAAAATTTGATTCATTATTACAGAGTTGATTTTAAAGTCTTTTAAAGTACAATAAATAAACAAACTACACTGCACAGCTTTCAACACTTTTTCTAACAGTATTCTCAACCATTATCACCTAAGCTTTTTTAAAAAGGTTGAAGTTTGAGCCAGGCAGTGGTGGTGCATACCTCTAATCCCAGCACTTGGGAGGCAGGGGCAGGTAGATCTCTGAGTTTGAGGCCAGCCTGGTCTACAGAGAGTTCCAGGATAGCCAGAGATTCACAGAGAAACTCTATCTCAAAAAAATAAATAAATAAATAAATAAAATAAAACAAACAAAAAATACTGAAGTTTGCTACCTATATTATCAAATTAATCTTGTTAGCCTCAATACAGTATTCTATAATTTTCATGATTCTCTAGCTATTCAAAAGCACTAAGGTTAAGACTAGAAGCAATCAAGTTAACATTCTTAAGTGAAGTAAGATAAGCAAAACTTGAAGAAATAAAAGTATTTGATCTGTCAGTTGGAATTAATGATCACTGAATTTGATTACGTTTTGATCAAAATATTAAAATTAAAATACTAAGTCATATAGCCCTTTTGATAATCCTTAAGTATACTAAACAGTATGTCTTAGATATAATATATACAACCCTAGACTTTAACCTAAATGCATGTATTTAGCTAAATATTTGCTAGTATGTATAGATACCTATGCCCACACATAAGGACAATCCATGCTTCCTATTTTTCATTAGAGATAAAATTTCATTTACCTAGGACTTCTGGGGTTTTTAACCCACACACCAAAACTGCACTAAATGCCATTCTTCTGGGGAGGAAACATGTTGATCAGAATTTTAAACGGTAGCTCATTTGGAATTTTTTTTTTTAAAGATTTATGTATTTATTATGTATACAGTGTTCTGTTTGCATGTATGCCTGCATGCCAGAAGAGGGAGCCAGATCTTCCTACAGATGGTTGTGACCCACCATGTGGGTGCTGGGAATTGAACTCAGGACCTCTGGAAGAACAGCCAGTGTTCTTAACCTCTGAGCCATCTCTCCAGCCCTGGAATTGTTTTTTAATCTTATGCATATATCACAAATCTCTCACAGAGCGATGATGCTTTAATGTTGACAAATTCACTTTACCTCACCGACGTATTTCTGCACGAGCTCAGACCCAATAACTCGGATGAAGCAAGCGTCAGTCCTGTTGGCAACTGCCCTGGCACAGAGGGTCTTGCCTGTGCCCGGGGGACCAAACAGCAGCACACCCTTCGGAGGCTCAATCCCAAGGTTAACAAATCTCTCTGGCTGTGACAAAGACACAAATTTTACACTTACAACTTCGGCATAACAAAAATATAAAATGATATAAAAATAATATTTTCACTTTAAAAATCAATTATCTGATATTGTGTGTTCCGTTATCCTCCAAGGTTTAACTGTTTTCTCTTGATGTCACTGGAACAACTATTTTTTTTTTTTTGGTTTTTCGAGACAGGGTTTCTCTGTGTAGCTTTGCGCCTTTTCCTGGAACTCACTTGGTAGCCCAGGCTGGCCTCGAACTCACAGAGATCCGCCTGGCTCTGCCTCCCGAGTGCTGGGATTAAAGGCGTGCGCCACCACCGCCCGGCCTATTTTTTTCTACAATAACAGTAATATTTTTAACAGACTAATTTCCTTTATCAATCTAAATAGCAGTTCTGTCTTTTAAATACATCTGGCTACTCAATTCTTCTTGTTTGCTCTCTTCTGAAATTCAACCATCTTTCCATACATCCACCCTATCACAAGTTTTCACTAAGAAAAATAAACCATTCAAAAGCTATGTAATACACACGCAATGCTAGTGCTCACTGCACAGTAGCTTGTGACAACTTTACACAAAGGAGACATTCAGCCACTTACATGGAGTAGAGGGGTTTCAACTACCTCTCGCAATTTCTCAATCTGTTCCTTACAGCCACCAACATCACTGTATGTGACGTCAGGTTTTTCTTCCACCTAAGAAAGAATAGACAACATACTCATAGGCTTTTGAGTGGCAACCATATCCTCCACAGGAGACTTAATACCACAAAAACCATTCTGTAACAAGAATGCTCATAAAACGGGAGTTAAAACTGTTTACTACATGTTAGGACATTAATTAATTCCAGTGTCCTAGAACTATTTGTTGAGCTACATTTGACATTAATAGGTGACAAATACTGATAAAGACTTTCCAAATATTTTTTTAATTTCTGGTAACTTTTTGGTGCATAACCTACATTAGCTGTTTAAAAGCTTCCAACTTTTTTGGAATAGATGCAATCATTGTTGTTTTTGGGTTTTGTTTGTTTTTATGAGATAGGCTTTCACCCTGTAGCCCAGGCTAGCCTCAAACTCATTCTGTAGCCCAGGCTGGATTTAATTCATAGCAATCCTTCTGCCTAAGCCTCCAAATGCTGGGATTACAGCTATGAGCCACTATGCCTGGCTGGCAATTATATTAAAGCATGTCAATCCCATTACCCCCCCCCCCCCCCCCCCCCCCCCCCGAGTTTCTTACCTGCATCATGGTAACTGTTGGGTCAATCTTAGGAGGTAGTGGAATGTGAATTTGGTATTTATTTCTGTCCACGCTAAGGAAGTAAAAATAAAAACAAAAACAGAATAGATGTTCTTTAAGTTTTCAGAGAACTCTTTCTGGCTAGTATTTATCTTTAAAATCACATTATAAGTAAGCAAAAGAGATACAGTCCCAGAGTTAGGAAGAGAAAAAAGTTGTGAAGAGTAAGTTATTATGTACTCTACAGACATTAACTATTCTCAAGCAAGTACTCCTCCACCTTAGCCGCACGCCTTTAATTAGGACACGTAAAGCCATGCATCGGGAGTGGGAAGGCTACGCTGGTGTGAAGTCAGGAAGCTCACAGAGAAGGAAAGACCGAGTCTTACTAACCACCTCTCACACTCCATGGCATTCTGTTTACTCCTTCACTACAAAGCCACAGCATGAACTCACCCAACTCTCATCCCTTCTTCAATGTCAGTAGGTGCCACCTGATCACTGAGATCCACCACAAACTTGGCAAACTGCTTCACATTGATGATGTATTTGGGGTCCTCTGAATCAGCATTGATTATCTTCGTACACCTAGCACAGCAAAGGGCTTCATGAGAGTACGGAACCCAAGTCACCAACAGTGAGCTCAATAAGTGGGCCACTGCTCAAGACCCCTCTGCGCTCACCCCAAGGGTCCACTCAACCTTAGCTGAGCCATAGAATTTTCAGATGATCCCTTCCCCAGAAAGACCAAACCCAAGAGTGTCATTAGTGGTTCCCAAGTGTGACCCTCATTCCCTTTATTATCAGGGACATCTTTTCATCTTAGGTGACTTTCCTTTTCATTTTCCCTGTAAGAATATAGCTGTGTGTCTTATTTCAAATTCAGTAACTTATATGTTTTCATTTTTTCCTGGGTTCACATTTTAAATCCATTTTTTGTTGTTATTTTTAATTTGAAAGTATTCACTCTCTGAGAGATCTGGTTAAAGTTAATATATAATACCACATGTGTCAAAGTATCCAATAAAGAAAACAGAAAATAGCAGGCTGGGGATTTAGCTCAGTGGTGGAGCGCTTGCCTAGCAAGCGCAAGGCCCTGGGTTCGGTCCTCAGCTCTGAACAAAATTTAAAAAAAATAAAATAAAATAGAAAATAGAATATATAATTCATATTAAGCAGCTATTGCATAGCAACAAATACAGAGAAATACACAACAGCCCTCAGAGTGTGCATGTAGGCTGATGGTATGAGTGTTTTGTGTTTGCAGCATATGTAACAAGATTGTCTTCTGTTGCCAGCCTAGGTCTAAGGGAGAATTAAATGCATTATTACTTTAGCTGACAGACCTGTTGCTCTACAGACACAGAGGTAGATTTTGGTCTTTTAATTGGGGGAGGGGGGTGGACGACAAGGTGGATTTGTACATTTTTTTGTTTGTTTGTTTAAGACATGGTCTTGATATGTAGCTGAGGCTGGCATCAAACGTGGCGAGCCCCTGATGCAGCCTCCCGAGTGCTGGGGTTATAGGTGTGGACCTATAACCTACAGGTGACCACCATGTCTGGCTAGTCAGTCCACGGTTTAAAAAGTAGGCTGAGCCGGGCGGTGGTGGCACACGCCTTTAATCCCAGCACTCGGGAGGCAGAGCCAGGCAGATCTCTGTGAGTTCGCGGCCAGCCTGGGCTACCAAGTGAGTTCCAGGAAAGGCGCAAAGCTACACAGAGAAACCCTGTCTCGAAAAACCAAAAAAAAAAAAAAAAAAAAAAAAGTAGGCTGAGTATGTTTTCCCACACCTGTAATCCCACACTTGGGAGGCAGAGGCAGCAGGATCACTACAAGTTTGAGACCAGCCTAGGCTGCAGAGTAAGGAAGATCCTAACAGAGTAAGTAAGACTTTTCTTCAAGAATGGCTAAATAAGGTTTACATCTGTGAATTGAACACATTTTCTCTAAAAATTAAAAGGAAGCCAAGAGGTATATGTATACTAAAAGCAATACAAAATTTCCTAACAATCTTTGATTGGTGTGTAAAATGAATGAAAATATTTTAATAAAAAAAAATTCCAAACAAGGTAGTTATGTCTTTAATAACCCCTCAAGGAGCTGGTAAGAAGGCTCGGCAGGTAAAGGGCTTGCCACCAAACCTGATGTCTTGAGTCTGCTCCCTGGAATCCACATGGCAAAGGAGAGGACTCCCTAAAGTTGTCTTCTGACCCCCACACCCATCCTGTACACATGGGAGTGCTCACACTTTTTTAAGACCTCCAGATTTACTTCTTTGCATGCAGACAGACATGAGGATACACATAAGAGGATAAGAAGGGTCACTGGAGCACGAGAACTGGAGCTTTCATAATGTGTTCTGTACTTTCTGAGTGTTCTTCATAAATACAGCACAGAATTTTAGCCCCAGATATTTGTAGAAAGCTTTATTTATGAAATGTGAAACAAACAAACAAATTTATACTGTATTAGACCCCAAACTCTAAAATGTCTTGGAAACAAAGTCCCACAGAGCACTGAGCGTACCTTGCCACCTGGAGCGGCTGTTCACTCTGAAGTGTCTGTTTGTCTGCGGCCAGGTCCCAGAGGGCTGGTGGTGCCAGGCCAGTGTCAGACTCTTTGATACCTACAGAGAGGAAGGTGGTAAAACTCAGCAAAATGTAGTGCATCACTCTAAAACTAACCTTCTCAACCCTAGCATGACTGGCATTCTATATTGAATATCCCCGCTTCCAAGGACTGTCCTGTACATTTTGTAGAATGCTTAGCAGTATCCCCTCCTAGATACTACACATCACCAGTAATATACCTTTCTGCATATCACAGGGATCAAGTTGCCTTCAGGCATGGCCTAATGCCTTCAGACAGAACCATTACCCTACAACCCCCACCCAAAACCACTACCCTAAAGCAACAAAACCAAAAATGTAATGACTACTTGACATTTTGTTTTTGTTTTTTGTATTACAGACTTCACTATTTAAATTCCCAAGTGCCAAAAAACCAGGCAATAGCCATAATGGGTAAAATCATGTTTTTATTCTATATAAAATTTTGATATATTAGAGTGTATTGAACTAGGCTTTGACCAGCAGAAATATTACTTGTGCAAAAGATGATGTTACTTAATTGCATAAGGATTGAACACATTTGTAAAAAAGGGTGTTCAATGAAGTCAAATTTCTTAAGAGTTTTTAAAAAAAATCTGTAACTGATGATTTTACTTCAAAATTTATTTCAAATTTGCATTTAAAAAAATTTAGCACAGGGCTAGAGAGATAGCTCAGCGGTTAAGAGCACTGAATGCTCTTCCAGAGGACCCAGGTTCAATTCCCAGCACCCACATGGCAGCTCACAACTGTCTGTAACTCCAGTTCCAGGGTACCCAACACCCTCACACAGACATACATACACTAATGCACATTAAAAAAAAAAAATTAGCGCAATCAACAATTCATTTAAAGGAAGTAGGATAATAAATACACACCAGTATAGCACAATCAACAATTCTTTTAAAGAAAGGAAGTAGAGATAATACATACCAGTAAGCTCATTAATTTTCTTGAGAAGTTGTTGAATGTCATCCTCAACCTGCTTGATTTGCCTGGAGTAAGTACTCTGCCCCTGGGTGAGAAAGGTCAGTTTAATTAGAGCACCTAAATATAAACAACTCACTCTAACTAGCCTTAACTGTATCAGAGCCTGGGAGTAAGAACAGGAGGGGGAACATTTGCAGACACTTTCCTAAGGCAGTTCTGCACTTTCTGACCTGTAGTTGATCTGCACCAGGCTGGCCTCACACGGCAATCCTGAGTGCTGAGAGAGAGGCATGAGCTACCACACCGCCTATTTCCATGCACTTAAAATTTCCATTTCTGGGCTGGAGAGATAGCTCAGAGGTTAAGAGCACTGACTGCTCTTCCAGAGGTCTTGAGTTCAATTCCCAGCAACCACATGGTATCTCACAACCATCTGTAATGAGATCTGGCACCCTCTCCTGTATACATTTAAAAAAAAAAATCCATTCAAATCTAATTTTGTCACATACATTTTAAATACAGTAAATATTTACATAAGTCATTTCAAATATCTTTCAATATAATGCCTTCACTATTAGAGGTTGTATAAAGATCAGGAGTTAGTTTAAGCACGCTGCATACAGACTCTCTGTTGTCATCTAAACAGAAACTTTGGGCAGCTAACTCTTCTCAATTAGTGTGAACTCTCAGACACTTCCTTCTAATCAGTTTAGAAAGACAAAACAATTTTTGTTTAAACACAAAACATCTACTGGTAGCCATTTAAAAGACTTACGTAAGTTTTCAGTAAGGCAATATCCCCCTCATCCAGAGCTAAAACAAAACAGAAACGATACATGACGTGAGGTTCAACAAGAGGAGGCAGCTGGTCAACTTTCTGTTCAAATCAAAGTGTTCTAACCGAGTTCCAAAAACTGAGTAAAAATGGGGACAAGGAATGAATTATAGTATTACATAGTCAATTACTACTTTATATACTTTATGTACTGCACATATAAAACATACCCATTATGGCTCTTAGTTAAGTAATCATGCTATATTCATACAATGAAATACAAGGCAGCCAGTTAGGATGGCGGTACACACCTTTAATCCAAGCACTTGGGAGGTGGAGGCAGGTGGATATCTGAGTTCAAGGCCAGCCTGGTTTAGGGTTCCAGGACAGCCAGGGTGGTTACACAGAGAAACCCAAAGAAATAAACAAAAAAGAAATGCAAAGCAGTAATTAAAATGGTAAGTTCATGTAGAAAGATACTCAAGTATTAAGTCAATAGGCAGGTTAAAAACATTGAATATGCATATAATTTGTCTTTATACAGAAAATCTTTTTAAAATATATAACAAGGTGTCTTAGATGGTGATTACCTAAATGTTATCAGGTATTATAAATGGTTTATAGTCTATCTGTAAATGATACATAGTCTATACTTCTTTAATGGTACATTGTGTATTATGAATTGGCCTAGTAACTAAAATTTAACTATGATTCTCAAGTTAATAGTCATGCGCAGAGAGATCCCTCTTGCCTTGAGGCTCTCACACAGAGTTGATGTGACAGGTAGGAGAAAATGTAGTATAGTGTAAGAAGCTCAGCCACCAGTCTGACAGAAATGAATTCTAATTCTGAAATCTGTTAGTGGGATAGCCTCAGGCAAGTAACATCACTTCTGAACTCTTTTCACTTATGTAAATAAAGAATAAATATCTACTAGATCAGTCATTTCTAGAATATAACATTAGAATCTATGTAAGATATACGTGTGTGTGTGTGTGTGTGTGTGTGTGTGTGTGTGTGTGTGTGTTAGAGTGTAAGAGAATTTTTCCTTCTACAAGTAATGGTTCAGTATTTGTTAATTCACCATTTGCAAGGACTTTACAGAATATTTTTTCTATGAATATCAAAACTCAACTGCAGGGGCTGACAAGATGTCTCAGGGTTTAAGAGCACTGAGGTTGGATTCCCAGCACCAACATGACAACTCATGACCATCTGTAACTCCAGTTCCAGGGCATCTAACACTGTCTCTGGCCTCTGCAAGTACCAGGCACACATGTATTACATATATATACATGCAAGCAAAACACCCATAAACAAATAACTTTTTAAATCAACTGTACATATTTTAAAGAAGTTTTTTTTTTCAACCTAGAAAGACAATTTCCACAGGGAAGGATAGCCTCTTTTTTACCTATGCAAGGATACTTAGTTAACAACCAACTAGAGCAGTCTTGGTGAGGAAGTGTTCTTGCTGAGGGTAAGAGAGCTTGAGTAGTGGAGCTTTAGGTACTACTGGTAAGGCAGTCCATGCACACTAGGATGAGTTCCTAAGGACCACAGCACACCTTAACATTAAAAAACTGTACCTTACCCATGGTGGCACACATCTTTAATCCCAGCACTAGGAGGTAGAGGCAGGAAGAATTTCTGTGAGTTTGAGGCCAGCCGGGTCTACATATTAAGCTCCAGGCCAGCTAGAGCTACATGATGAAACTCTGCCTCAAAAAAAGTAAAAACAAAACAAAACAAAAACCCCACAAAACTGTACCTTAGGAAGAACTGGCTTAGCAACAAAGTAGAGTACATCAGAGGTCCCAAGACTCTCACAATGGTGCAAACCATAACACTAAGTTGGGGCTAGCATGTAAGAGGTCGGAGGTTTAATCCCCAGCACTGCACAAAACAAAGGAAAAAGAAAGAAAATCCAGGGTTAGAAAAGCCTGGAGAATAAGAATCTGCAGCACAGGGCAGCAGACTAAATTTGACGAGAACCTCAGTGCACAGAAATATCCAGAGACTAGTCCCGCCTCAATCTCCTAAGCATCGGGTATATGTACAGCTCTCCCTGTGAAGTTAGCAGAACAGGCTGGACTGCTACCCTTTGGAAGCCTGCTTACAAGCTGGCCTTTGGCTGCTGTCTGAAAACTTGGATTTGGGGAGAGTTCTGATCATTCCAGTTCACTAGGCCAAACTATTTGCACAAATAAACAGTTCACGCAGAATACCAACTTTCCTTCTGAGAGTCTGGAATTTGGTGCCTATCTATCCAACCCCCAGTTAAAAAAAAACAAACAAAAAACTGGGCACTGGTACTAAGTTTCCAACAATCTGCCCTGACTGGTAATTATTTTAATCATGCCATGGTATCTTCTTGTTGAGACAAACAGGAGCATTTATGCAATTCTTATTCCTGTTCCCTGGATGTTATCTCATGTCCTCTGTCCCTTTTGCAGATTTTGTCACAATAAAGTCAGTCACAGCTATAACTAAGTCCCATGACATGTCCTATAAACTTCAGAATCTAATGGCAGTCTAAGAATCCTCAACACACCAGCACATCCTAATGTGGCAATCCAGAAGGCAGAGAAATTAGACAGCAGAGTTTTAGTGCCAAAAAGAAGTCAAAACAATTACCAGTCTTTCCAGTCTTGGCTGCCACTGAGAGCAGCAGCTATGGGCCTCACCAAAGGCCACAGGTGTCTGTGCCTCACTAAACACACTAAGTTCTCTGAAGACATGATCCAGGAGGTGTGTGGCTTTACGAACTACTGTTCCTCGGGGTCTCAAGAACAAATGGAGCTCAAGTTCATCAAGAAGGGGAATGTACCAAGAGGAAGCAGTGAGGAGCAGAGCAACCTACTAGTGGCCATGAGAAAAGCGGCTGACAAGGACCGACCCTACCCCGCTTGCCACCTCCCACAATAAACCTTTATAAACTGGAGAGAGAGAGAAAAAGGTTAACTGAGAATTGTATTTGAGAAGAGACAGTTCAAGATGTGAATGGATGAAATCACCAGGAAGAAAATTTTAGAGAAACTATTACAGGACCCAAATGAAGGAAAAAGAAACAGCAAAGAGGAAGGAAAATAAGCAATGAAGTTCACTTAGAGAAGTTTAATAAGGCCCAGGGTTACCTGGGAAAGCATTGGACAGTCAGGACAACAGACCAAAGAGTCGCTGTATGAGAAACAGTGATTACGTATAAATGTACTGTATACTACGGATATACTATTTCATCCTACAAGTACAATTATTTCCAAACTACACTGAGGCCAATTAGTAAGAACTAACACCAACATTTAAATCTAGCTCCTCCTAATACCAAGCTTATCTTTTCAGGTGTTTAGGCAATAAAAGGAGAAAGAAAGAAAGGAATGAAGGGAGGGGAGGAAAAAATGAACAAGAAAAGGAGTTGTAAATTGAAAAGGGAGAATAGATTGCCTCAACCATATGTTTTTTGTTTGTTTTTTATTTTTTGAGACAAAGTTTCCCTATGTAGCCTTGGCTGTCCTTGAACTCACAGAGATCCACCTTTCTCTGCCTCCCAAGTGCTGGGATTAAAGTCGTGCACCACCACTTTCTGGCCTCAACTGTATGTTTTTAAGACAAAGTAGGTATTAGTATATTTACAGGAACCAAAGGAGAAAATTCTGTACAAACACAACAGGAGCAGTAACAAAGTCCCAGAGGAGAAAGGGAGAACTAAGACCAGGAACAGAGATGAGGTTGGGTTTGAAACTGTCACCGAGTCCTGCAGGCAGAGCTGAATGAAGGATAACACAGACGAGAACTCCTCGGGGGAGGAGAGGAAAGTCATCATCGAGGAACACAGGAACCACACTGTGGGCTTGAAACACAGACCACTCTGGCCAGCAAAGTGGGGTCCACAGTCACAAGACAATAACCAGCAGGAAGTTCAGTGACTGAAAGCTTGAAGTCATATCATCAACAAGGTTAAACTGGCTTGAACAATGTTGACAGCCTATGTGCAGAAAAAGACACAAACAATGAAGTTCCCAGAATTTAAAAAGGAAGAGCAAAAGTCTAATGGGAAATCTGCCATTTTAGACATGAAAATGGAGTCTACTAGTCATCACCTTTGGAGACTCAGATGGGGATTAAAGTCACCAGAATGGAGGAGATCCCAGGGCATCACAACTGCTGATGACACTCAAAATGATGCCACAGAACCAAGCCAGGGGCCAAAAAACAATGGAGTTTAAAACTGCAGCAACCTCCAGGACAGACTTAAATAAAATAAGGTCATGTATCTGTCAGGTTACCTTAGGAAAATCATTTAATTTCTCTAGCATTAATTCCATCATCTAACTCAGAGAATTTTACCTTCACAGTGTTTCTGTAAAGATCATATAAGATACACACTTTAGTCATACTTGAGCTCCAAAATAATCTTATCAACACTTACCTCTGAAACTTTCAATGGTGTAAACACTTTAAGGAGAGTGGCAGATTGAGTGAAGATTAAAAAGAAAAAAAAAAGAGTATACATAGTATTTACGCCCAGAAGAGGCATAAATGGAGAAGGAGAAGTTGAGATTGTAAGAAAGAGTCAGACACCACAACATTGAAAAATAGTTATTTTTAAGATTAAAAAAGTTGAAAATAAAGCATGAAGACGAGACTAGAAAAAAAATAGATCTCTAAATGCAAGATGCTGATCTACATCAAGATACATTATGATAGATACACACACACACACACACACACACACACACACACCCCTGCATACACACAGTCGTGCTTCTGCGTGTATTAAAAATGCCCAGAAAGAAACGTAAAATGGCTGGAATCAGCACTGGTTAGGATCTGCGGACAAGAATGCGAGACCTGATCTCTGCCGACTCCAGTTTTAAACCGTCGCTGCCACACCTGGGGAGGAGAGGATGGGGCCGGGAGGAAGAACTCAATCCCCGCCAGGCTGGCCACCTTTTGAAGGCCTGCAAGGCCACACTGGGTTTGGAACGTCAATGCCTGACAAAATATTCGGTTAAAAAAATAAATAAAACACCTGATTTAAAAAATCGGTCAGCAAGAGAAGGATCCAGAGCTTGTAGTGAGTAAGGGAGACAGAAGGCAGGCAGTGACTGCGGCCCAGGCCTGTCACCACTCCGGTCCAAGGCGGACGGAGCACCGAGGCGGCGGATTCCGCGCCTCTGCGGTGCCTGCGCTGGTTCCCCCGGCGGGGAGCGCGAGCCCGTGTCCTCTCACCTCGGATGGGCTTGTCGTCCTTCTCATCCTCTTTGGTTTTCCGCTGGTCCGCACCTAAGTAATCAGGCATTTTCGGGGTCGCAAGTGCCTCAGTGTCTTAGTGATTACACAGCACCTTCCTCGCTTCCGGCGGGGTCTTCCCTTTCTCTTCCCCACCGGAAGTAGAACAGCGCTCTGGCGCTCATTTACAGTGCGCCTCCGGGCTGAAGAGCCTGGCTCTGTGTTGTGCGCAGGCGCAGACTTCATCCTATCCCTCGCCAGGTCTGGTTTTTTTTATGTACCGGAACAGCAACTTCCCAAGACTAACCCTGGCTCAGTTGATGAAGTTAAATCTTGATTTAGGCATTAGTAATACACGCCGTCAGGGGTAACTTATTAAATCTCTAAATTTTAATTTCCCCTTTACCTCACAAGATTGGGGAGGTACTAAATAACAGCGTTTGTAAAATGGCTGGCATTTTAGACACAGTTAATTGGTGACCAGATCTACAAATAGAACGAATATAACACATTTCTGGTAGGGAATGTGTCTCTGGGATATGCAAAGAACTGCAGCTCAACAAGAGAGCAATCCGGCTTTTATGATGGGAAAAGAATGATGGGTAAAGAACTTGGACAATCATTTCTTCAAAGGATATACACAAATGCCAACTGACTCATGACAGAATGTTCAACCCTGGGAAAATGCAAATAAAAAGCATTTTTTTTTTTTTTAGGCCACAAGTTTACAGAGATCTGCCTCCCTGAGTACTGGGACGAAAGTTGTGCACCACCATGCCTGACCCATGGATAGCTTTTTTTTTTTTAAATGACTGCTATTGTTTTTTAAAAGGAAATAAAAGTTTGAGGATGTAGGGGAAAAAATAGAACTATTGTGTACTGTTGGTGGGTAAAATGGTGCAATGGTTGTTGAAAATTGAAAATAACTAAAATATAACCTACATAAGCTAGTAATTCCATTTCTGGATATATAATGACAAATAGTTGAAAGTGGAATTTCAAAGAGATACTTGTACAGCCATGTTCATAGCTGCATTAAGCAATAGGCCAAATGAAGAACAGCCCAAGCATCCATCTGCAGACAAATGGATAAACAAAAATGTGGCATATTAATACAGTATTATTCAGCCTTTAAAAAAAATTCTGTGGGCCATTATACTAGTGAATAAACCACTCACATAGAGACAATGTTTAATAACATAATACTAAAGTTATGTAATTCCAGTTGTATGAGGTGCCTAGGGAGCAGCGATTTCTGACTGAAGGCTCTGGAGATTGAGACAAGATTGTCACAGGAGTTAGAGGCGGCCTGGGTGACATAGTGCGTGAAGTTCTTTTTCAAAATTATTTTCTACGTCTCGCTCTCGCGCACGCAAGGAAAAGACTCTTTCTCCAGGCAGGAACTGAAAGTTTAGGAACTGTTCCTTCGGGCTCCCTGGTTCCAGCCGGCTTACCGTCAATAGAGGAAGTAGGCGGCCCCGCACTTTGGCGCGAGTAGGTGGGGGTGGGCTTGGCGTCCGCACCGCGCAAGCCCTATCCCGGAAGTGCTTGCTGGTCGTCTCCACGCGCCGGTTCCTGGGCGTCCAGCCTAGGCGCGAGGGTCAGACTAGGAGGTAGAGCGAACCGAGAGGGCCTACCCTGCTGGACGCGAGCCGCGGCGCCCGCGGGACTAGCCCCAGCCACCATGCTGCTCCTGCCGAGCGCCGCGGAGGGCCAGGGCACCGCCATCACCCACGCTCTGACCTCCGGTACGTGCCCACCAGCCCGGTTTCCGTCCTGCCGCGGGCGCCCCTGCCTCAGCCCTCTCCCTGGCAACCCCAGTGTCGGTCCCCTTGAGCCCGGCGACCTGCTCCGGGACGTGCAGGGCCGTGACGAGCTCCTGTTGCTCCGTGCTGTAATTAGAAGAGTCCCTGGTTTATTGGATAGGAGGGTGGGGGCGTCTTCCTTCTGCACCTGTGGGTCCTCCTTTCTCTTGGGACTGCTGACTCATGGAGCGGGCTGAGCAATTGAGGACCGAGCCCCCCGCTACCCTGAAAGATCCTCCAAAGCATCCCGTTGCCCACGGCAGAGAGACCCCGCTGCACGCACCCACGTGCCGGGATTTGTACAAAGCCCTGTGAACGCTGTTAAGCACTTTCCCGCTACCTTTGCTCCCGGCTTTGGGTTTTAAGTGTTCGGGCTCAGATAACTTCCTCATACCATTGGAAGCTCTTTCGGGCGCTCCTAGAAGCTTGGAGTACTCTGAGAAAAGGTTGAAAGAGCAACTTAGTCTCCAGCTGTAGGTATTTTGGTTTATAGCCCAGCACGCAGGAAGGTATTGCAAGCGTCAGGTCTCCGATTTTAGTGCTCTGCATTCTTTCCCGTAGCCACCTACCGTGGGCACTTGTTGAATGTGATTTTTAAATATTTCCCACGGCACGTGTTGCGTTTGTGTATCTCGGTGTAATCCTATACTAGCGAGAAGAGCTCCAAAGGCTGTTTTAAAAGCCACGCCCCCGTTACACTGCTGGTTTGTTTTAGCGTTTGAATCCTCTCCTGTATTAGGTGGAGAAAATCTTAATATCAGAAGCCAATTCAAACGCGAGAAACGTTTTTAGAAAATGTTGCCCCAAAACCGTGCACAAAAAATGCACTTTGATTTCTTATGAAATTAAAACTATGATCTCACTTTTTTCCTGACCCAGATTACCAATTTTTAATTTCTGTTGTACATATGTACAGTAATTTATTCTGTATTGCCTTCTCTACAACAGTTTGTAGTTTTTAAACTTCATTCGAATAGTCTAGGAACTTAATGAGATAGGTATTATTTCCATTCTGAAATGATTCACATTTCAAGAAACTTGTGGTCCTAAACTAAAACCCAGGGATTCTGGATTCAAGTCCAACCTGCATCACTAGGACAGAGATGCAGTAGAAAGTCCCCAGCATTGACTTGGAAAATTATCTATTTGAACAGATTGCTGCTAGGGACTCCTTAGAATTATTAACCATTTTAGTAATTAAGCTATTAATAATTAAGATCACTTGAGTATACAGTTTTTGGTTTTTTTTTGAAGCTAGTTCTTGGTGGCATTTTATCATTTAGTTTTATTATTGTTACTGGATCCTCACCTTCCTTTCTCACACTCTTAGGAAAATATTGATTAGCTGCTGAGTTTCTTTTCTTTTGCTTTAAAAAAAGTTATGGGGTGTTTTTGAGTGCCACAGCATGCATGCAGAGGTCAAAGAAAAACTTATGGAGTCCAGTTCTCATCTACCTTTATGTGGGTTCTTGGCCTTGAACCCAGGTCATCACCCTTAATGGAATGTTAACTGGAAGAGGTTTCTGGAATAATTAATAAATGTTACCAAGGATAATTTGCTACCCATGATGCAACTGGATTCTGCAATTATTTTTATAGTTGATGGTTTGAAAATTATATTCTGATGTCATTTTTTGCTCTTCCTAAGAAATCATGTTGCCTTGAAATAGATGTGTTCCTTGCAATAGATTGAAGTCTTACTTTTCCCCCTCACAGCCTCTGCACTCTGTCAAGTTGAACCTGTGGGAAGATGGTTTGAAGCTTTTGTCAAGAGGAGAAACAGAAATGCTTCTACCTCTTTTCAGGAACTGGAGGATAAGAAAGAGTTGTCAGAGGAATCAGAAGATGAAGAGTTACAGTTAGAAGAGTTCCCCATGCTGAAAACACTTGACCCCAAAGATTGGAAGGTATTTACTATGCAGAGCCTTTGATAGTTCAGAGCATCTAGACATCGGCCACATTCCCAGTGTTCCCATTACTAGACTGTATTTTAAGGCAGTTCAAATGATAGGCATAAGTCAGCACTGTTATTGCTGAGCCCAGAGTTGGAATAGCACTGACCATAGTATACTGTCTCAGCCATAGGCATCCAGGAATGTTTTAGAGCAAAAGTAATGTTTCTGTGGAAGTGGTAACATTCACCCGTAATCCTAGTACTTGAGAAATAGAGACAGGAAGGTTAGAAGTTCAGAGTCATCTGTGACTGCATAGAATTTAGAGGCCAGCCTGAGATATATAAGGCCCTAGCTTTAAAAAAAGAAACAACGAAACCCAGCTGATCTTTAAAAGATGAGTGGCAGTTAATGTAGTAGAGAAGGGAGAAAAGGCATTCTGGATAGAAGGATGACATAACGGAGACAGGAATAAAGAGGATCTACCACTTCATGAGGGAATAAAGTAGAGTACATAGGGCATGGCTGTGGGGAATTAGGCCCAGAAAAAACTCCAGTCTGTTTCAAACTCAGTTGTCATTTAGGAATTAATTCAAATCTTGTTTTCAAGACAATAACTCATCAAAAGTTCCCAGGCTAGGGCTGGGGAGATAGTGAAGTACTTGCAAGCCTACCTTGGTTCAATCCCCAGAACCCACTCTAAAAAAAGAGGAAAGAGAATAAGGGCTTGTGAGGGTTTGATCAAAGTACGTTACATAATCCCAGCCCTGGGGTGGAAGAAACAGGTGTATGGGGCTTAACTGGCCAGCAGCCTAGATATTAAGTCAGCTCCAGGCCAATAAGAAGCCTGTCTGGGAGGGAAAGAAAGGTGGACTGTACATGAGGAATAACACTCGAGGTTGTCCTCTGGCCTCCATGTGCCTGCACACACATACACACACATTCCTAATATAAGTTTAGAAAAACATTTCTGTTGGTAGTATGGGAAATATCTGAAGTGTGCGGCAGACCTAGAGGAAAGTGAGTAACTTTCTGCTACAAGGCTCACACACAGGCGAGGCCTGTTGGTGAAGATGTGAAACACGTATAGCCAGGTTTTGAGGAAAAGGGGACACACTGATGGCAGAAGTTTGGTAGAGTACACCGGACAGTAGCCAGTGCTGGGATGCAGGCTGAGGAACTTTGCAGGCAGTTTTGTGTCCAAATTTTAGTAAAGTTGTCTTAAAGATGGTTGAACATTGGGCTGTGACTCAGTAAGAGATTAGGTTTACTTTGAAGCACAGCAGTTGAGGTTGTGAGAAATGAATGGCATCAGCAGCCAGACATGCATTTAAGTATATCCAAACAAGTATCACATGTGTATACTGTGGAACTGAAGTGCCTGAACTTCAATCAGCTAGTGCACCGACCCTTGGAAAAGTTGGTGGCCATCTCAGTGTCTCATTTCCCTTGTTGGTACAGTGTTTGTGAACAACTCAGAGGATT